TGGGCCTGGATTCGTGGTGAAAAATCTGCTTCTGTTCCAGCCCCATGTTTCTATGGGGAACGAAAGCAAGCAGGATTTTCAAGATGGTGCTGGCTATATTGTTGCAACACTGACGCCAACCATACGAAGCGGCTTGAAGACACTATAGTGACTAAACCTGATGCAGTACCTAAAGAATGGCCGGTTGCTAATGGGGTCGCGCTCACCTCGGATGAGATTGAAAACCTTGAGAAATCTGGTTTTAATCTTGAGAGGAGAGTTGGAGACATGAGTGACAGGAGCAGGACTATTCCTACAGAGATGCACAGGAGGCCAGCACAAAAAGGTAAAGCAGTTAAATTTATTGGTACCGTCTCCAAGCAGAAGCAAGGTAAAATAAACTTGGCTCAAACACTTGAGTGTGAGATTCTCTCTACGAAGTACATCACTGCGCTTGCAAAGGAGTACATAGTCAAAACAGAAGGTGGAGAGTACACAATTGCCATTCACGACTTTCCTTCTTGCACATGTCCAGACTTTACGAAGCGCGAGGAACATGGGAAGGCATATGCTCCTTGCAAGCATATGTACTACATCTTCATCAACATCTTGCACCAGGATCCTAAAGTGGATATTCATATACACCAAGCAAGCCTTACTATTGCTGAGTTGCAGAAAACTTTTGGAGCTAATTAGATTTCTCCAACACTATCGATGTTTATTCTCTATCAATAAAACTTATTATACTTTATATAATTAATACAAATGTGCTTTTTCATTTCACTTTTCATTTTATATGCTTCCGAGTGTTCTTCTCGCAATACTGCCCATAGTACTCGTGTGTCTCCATTTCTGTCTTTACCATCTCAAAAAAGATTTCATGGTAATCTTTCGGGTGCGTGATGTTGCAGTGTGTCGCAAGAGCATATATACCATCATACTGATCATTGCCATTGTTTCCACCAGACGCTAGAAAACATATGGGGCACTTCTTGAAAGTGGCAGAACTGCACTTTTCTAAAACAAGTAAGAGGGCATTCTTTTTCACCCAATTTGTTGCACCCTCTGTCATTGCATTTATCTCCAATTCATGATCACTATCCTCACTATCCTCTCTTTCATTCTCTTGTGTGATTTGGTTATGCTGTGCAATGGGATAGTTATTGCATCTCCTAGCCCTTGAGCTCTGGGAAGAAAGATTGTGAGAGTTAAAATTACCAACACTAGAACCCATAGACATTTGTGGGTGTATTTCCCTTTTTTCGAATGAGAGTGTGAATGAAGATCTATAAATTCTAGACAGTATGCTACGACAAACCCCTCAAGAATGTATTCTACAAAGAACCAAGTCTTTCTTTTATATGCAATAAGCTTACATCAACGGTTATTTTTTTTCCTTTCAAACGGTTATATGGCTTCACATAGAATCTTATTTCAAATTTAATAATTTTTTAATTCTGACAAACCTAACATTTACTAGCCAGAAAGCATAGAGTACAAATTTAAAGAAGTGACAAGAATACTCTTTTTTCAAACATTTTATTTTATGTTCTAACAAATGTCCCTATCATTGCATGTAGTAAATATTTAAATTATTAGAACAAAATGTGTTATTTAGAACATTTTTATCTATATAATATATAGAGAGTTATTAAATTATTAGGTTCGCCATAACCTTAAAATTTTAAAATTTATAATGTTTGTACTAAATTACAATTGAAAATTGAGCTCAACTCGTGAGCTCAACTCTTCAACTCGTGAGCTCAAGTATGGTCCGCGCCCCTCTCGACAGTGTCTCAGGTCAAAGATAGTTCTTCATCGTTTCTCTCATTCCATGGCAGCAACAATGTTGGCAATTCTCATCGCCATCTTCGTCTTTGCATGCTCGCCACCCCCACTCGTCCTTGCTGCCGACGAGGACATGCTCCAGGACGTCTGTGTCGCGGACAACAACAACACTATCATCATCAATGGCAAGGTATGCAAGCCCATGGTAGTGGTGGTGGCCGAGGACTTCAAGTCGGGCTTGCTCAGGAACCCAGGCAACACCAGCAACAGGCCTGGCTCCGCAGTCACCGCTGCAAACATTGGCAATTTCCCTGGGCTCAACACTTTGGGCGTCTCGTTTGCCCCCCTCAACTACGCTCCCGGCAGTGTCAACCCCCCACACGTCCACCCCCGGGGCACCGAGCTCCTCTTCCTCGTCCAAGGAACTCTGTTCGTGGGATTCATTGGGATTCATTACCACCGCACCGGATAACCAGCTCTTCGCGCAGACAATCAATCCCGGCGAGCTCTTCGTCTTCCCTCGAGGACTGGTTCACTTCCAGATCAACACTGGCAGAGAGCCTGCGGTGGCGGTGGCCGGGTTCAACTCGCAGAACCCCGGAGTCTCCCAGGTTGCCAAGGCCGTGTTTGGCTCGAACCCGCCTATCTTGGACGCCGTCATTGAGAGGACGTTCCAGATCGATAATGCTCTCGTGCAGAGGCTCCGGGAGCTCGTGAGCATGACGTAGAGCATCGTTTTCCATAGATTTTGTTGTTTCTTTTGATTAATAACTTCAAAGGTTTTGTTGATCTACTCGGTTTTGTGCTCAAGATCATTGGAGAATAGCTTCATCCATAGGGCATCCATGTTCTCGAGGTGAATCTCTGACAGACGCGCTCGAAATACCATCCAGGAAGCTCAAGTTCAAGGATCTGCCCAGAAAATGGCAGCATCTTTTAAATTAATCAATTTAAACCTAATGGGCTACTGTCAAAATAAATGTTTAATTCAACCTTTAATTTATTGGCAAACTCTCGTACTCGCTATTCCTTTTCAACCATTTGCTCTTAGCACTGCTCTTATGAGAGATTGCGTCCGCCATCACCATCCCTTTGGGAGCATGGATCGAGCCTGTGAGCCTGGCGCAGCTGGAACATGCTTGCCTGCAAGCTTTTCCCTACGAAGATGTCGAGCTTTCCTTG